ACCGTGAGCCCAGAGCTCACTGAGAAGCCCAGCAGCTACTGCTGGGCGGGACAGGCATCCCAGGTCCCTTTATCAGACCAGGGATGTTCCCTTCCATGTCGAATTTCTGAGCGTCTGTATCTTGAATGGTCTCTTTGAGCTTCACCTCCTTTTAAAGGACATTCCTTTAGGTCAGGCCCACCCAAGATAATCTCCCTTTTGATTAACTTGAAGTCAGGTGACAGAAGGGGTGGGCAGCCTAGCGCCTCAGCATGCGCTCAGGAGGAGGGGGTGGTGCCGGTCAGGGGTCCCTGGGACACCTTAGAGCTCCGTCAGCCGCAGGCTCCTCCCACCCAGTCCCGTGGGATACTCTTGCTTGACAAGACCTGGACAGGTGAGCTGCAGGCTGTCTGTGCAAATGAGGAAGAACAGGATTAAAACACTTCCCCTGACACAGAGTGAATCGCACACATTCTCTGAGCTTTAAATTTGTTTTTTCAACTGTCGATTATAACACCTACTTCACGGCGTCCTGTGGGCATCACATGGAAAAGGTTCAGCGCAGTACCTGACACAGGGAACATACTTATCAAGTGTGGACTGAGTCTCTTCTCCTTTTTTCATTCCTTTCTATAAAACTTTGACAGCAACATATTTTCCCACTGTTATCAAATATCCCAGAGTTCATTACGATATTTTAAAAAGAGGGCCACTAAAACATAGATGTGTATAAATTCTTAGATATGTATAAATCTCCCCCTTTGATGCCCCGGAGGCCTCATGGCCAGAGCTTAATTCCATATGTTGATAACATAAATTGAACATCTATTAAAAACTATCAATAGAGAACTTTCCTTACCAGCTCTTCTCAGCACTAATAGTTATTTAAGAAGCAAATCTATACCATAATGGCATATAGTAATCGGCGTTTTGGTAATAACACCAAAACCAAAATGAAACAAAAGCAGCTTCTTGCCCAACAGAGCATCTTCTCCGTCAATATCATTGGGGGTGTTGTTGGAATGACCCTTGGATCAGCCTTCATAAGACTCCTCTTAAGAGCCCTACCTGAATTATCCAGAAGAATAGGAAGGATCAAAAGTACCAAAAGCCTATATATCATCCCATGTATCTTTAAGCTGAAAGTTAGATTTAAAACGCAAACTTTATCTTAAACTGTGTTTTTCTAAGTGTGGTAGAGAGAACTTAGTGGTATGAAATGTCTGAGTGTGACCCAAGTGTGACCAGAGAGGAAAATGGAGGAGGGCGTGGGTGTGGGTAGGGGGAGGTGAGGAATCAGCAGGGGGTTGCTATGGGGTCAGACTCCTCTAACATCCCGGAATGTGCAGAGCCTGGGGCGGCCACGGAGAAGGCTCCTGAGCCTCTGAAGATGGTGGGCGGTGTGACCACTGAAAGAACAGATGAGCAGAGGGAGATGGAGAAGAACAAGGGTCATGCTCACCAACTGGAGTTTAGGATTTTCTCTCCACAGCTTGGAGAGCGAGAAGGGGTGGGAGGGAGTGAGAATTTGCAGTGTGGGCTGGGTGGGACAGAGAGGCGCTTTTTTTTTTTTTTTTTTAAGATTTTATTTATTTTAGAGAGGGGGGAGGGCAGAGGGAGAGGGAGAGGGAGAAAGAATCTCAAGCAGATTTCCCTCTGAGCATGGAGCCAGATGTGGGGCTCAGTCCCACAACCCTGAGATCACAACCTGAGCCGAAACCAAGAGTCGGATGCTTAACGGACTGAGCCATCCAAGTGCCCCAGAGGAGCTCTTTTGGTTACCGGACCTCACCGTGGGCTCAACTTTGCCTCTGATTGGCTATGCGCTCTGCATAGGTGATTCATCGTACTGTCTACATTCACTCGATTTTTTTAAAAAATGGGGAGGAGGGGGTTTATAAAACAAATATCTACAGCAAACTGAAGAGACGAATGTATGTTGAATAATTGAAATACTGCCTTCAATTTATGAAATGACTATCTGTCATAAACCAGGGGTTTTAACACCTCATCTTTCAATTCTACCAAACTGATTCTAAGAGACATTTTCAACTCCTATTTAAAGGATGTGACCAAGGCCACACATCTAAATACCATGCCGCACTTCCCTCGCCGCCGCCACCCGAATGACTCTGGCCTTCTCTGATTCTTCTGTGCTCATCTTTTTAGAAATCAGATGTGACTAGTATAACTCAGATCCCACGCAGACTTTTCTCATAGGAGGCTAACACTGTTTCCCCACCAAACAGCTGCTTCTACCAGGAGCAGAAATGCCTCTGTTTTAAGATACCTCCCCTCCTATATATTCCTATATATTTCCCACCCCCCCCACCACAGGGAGCTGCGCCTGTCTTGTAAACGTAGGAGAGTCCCAAATACCTGGCCAGTCACGGGACGTGAATATGAATAACAGGAGCTGGATGGCTCACCGGGGCAGTGGGAGGCCACAGAGCTTCTTCTCTTTGAAAACCAGTCTATGTTTCCTGTTTTTATACCATTTTATTTTTTTTTTTCCTGAAAATTACCATTTGAGTGTATCTGTATCATGTCCAGTTAGGTTCACTATTTTAAAAATAAACTATACAATCTTCTAAGTATTTGTCAATGCATGCAAGAGACAAGGACAAATCTACATTCCCATAGGAATGCAGATAAGGAAAATTATTAAAACCACGAATAGTTCCTTGTCCAAAAGGTACACAGAGCACCATGACCGTGACACACACACGCACCGCACAGAGCCGGTCCCTTCTGTGGACGTGGGAAGGACTCCCCTCCCTTCCCCTGACTTTCCTCCATATGGCGGGATGCTGGCTTTGGTCCCCCGTGTATTCCCCGGATTCTTGCTTCCTTTGGCAATGGCTGCTGATTACTAAGAAAATCCCATCCCCCAACAAAACCACACTCTTGGAGCCACATCCCGAGACCAGCTGCTGGTCACCAGGTTAGCTCAACCTGTGGGTGGTTCAAGGTCAGACCACCTCTGTTCCCGGAAATAGACCCAAGGAACGTATCTCACCTACAGAAGGCTAGATATCCTCTTTGTTTCTGGGGCAAAACGACATGAAACACAGGCCAATGATAATTTGTATTGGTTTAAATTGTGGATCATCTTCACAGACTAACTACGGGATAGGTACAATGAGCCAGCAACATTTTCTAACTTTGGATTCCCAAACAAAGGTCCCAGCCTAGAATCCTACGGGGTCAGAATCCTGGTATAGTCTAGTCTGCTCTAATCTGTGAAAATCTAACACACAAAATCCTCTCAAAATCCTTTTACAGGCTACATTTTTAAAAACTTCAAAGGGACGTTCATTAAACTCTATCTTGAGATAAAAATGAAACTACTAGTTATAATTCAGTTTTCCAGTTTGAATTTTAAAATGCACATTCTTTGTGGTCTTGGCATTTTTCTTGAAAATGAACATTATGGTATATTTTAGGACATAATTCATATGGGGGGGAAAAAACACGTTGAATGTCAGCACCATCCTAATTTAAATGGTTTGCACATTCAGAGGAAAAGCTTAGTTGTTAGCCTTGCTGAGGGTTCTTTGAGACGGCAGCTCCACCAGATAAACAGATTCCTCCCCGTTAGACGGAGATCGGAACCCCCCCAGGACGAGGGCCGTTGGACAGGAGGTGACGAGTAAATGGACCCTTCCGTCCTCGCCCCTGGTTGGCAGAACTCCAGTGGGCAGCCGATTTACCCGGTAGGGGCTGCTCAACACGACGGCCGGGACAGTGCAGTCCCGGGTGGGGTCACCCCGGCTTCGGATTCTGTAGGTTTGGGGGCTGGACCCCGAAAACTGCATTCTTAACAAGTACAGTACGGACGCTGGTAGGGACGCTGTGCGGGGCTCGGGACCCTGCCGAGAACCAGTTGGAAGGCATCTCTTTTTGGAAGGTCAAGATTCGTTCTCACAGAACCGTAGAACCGGCACTTCAGCCCAAGGACCCCACTCAGAGCCGGCAGATCGACCGCACTCTCGCAGGCCTTTCTGACCCCTTCCCGCGTCAGGCAGGTGTCCGCGGCTCACAGGCGCGAGCCAGCGGGGCGCGGGCGGTCTCCCAGCTGGCCGGGGCCCTCCGACGCAGCGCTCCCCTCCCTCCCCAGGCGTCCCCAGCCCTGCGGGCCCGGTCTGAGGGCCGCGGGGCGACAGGGCGCACACAGGGCGCGGAGGGGGCTGGGGGCAGAGGAAGGTGCGTGGACGGAAGACGGAGGGGCAGGGGGCAGCGGAGCTGGAGGCGATCGGAGGGAACAGAGCGGGTCAGGGGCGAAGGGAGTCCCCGAGCTCGGACGGGAGGGACAGAAGGGACGGAGCGGGGGGAAGAACGAGGGGAGCAGCGCGGCCCCGAGGGCGGACGGCAGGGGACAGGGGCGAGGGGGCCCGCCTGGCTGCCCTGGGCCCGGCCGCGGCGCACTGAGCCCCTCTGCCGGGGGGCGGGGGACGGGGCCAAAGCGACCGGCCCGGGAGACGGGACGGGAACGCGCGGTCTAGCGACCGGGACGCGGCCTGAGTGACGAGAGCCGCGGGCGGGGGGGGAGGGGAGAGGCCGGGGACGGGACTGCCGGCCCGAGCGGTGGGCCGAGGCCCGACCCGGCGAACGGGCACCGGGACCGGGGGATGGGACGCGGACCGGGGACGGGAGGAGCGGCTCCCTCGGCCGGTGGCGGGCTCACTGAGGCGCTCGGCCTGCACCTCCCAGCGCCGACTCCTCCGGCGCGCGGCGGCCCGCGCCTTATATACCCTGCTAAAAATAGCCTGCGAGGACGCCTTCCAATCAGAGCCGCCTGAAGTTCGAATTGAGCCAATGGCGAGGGCTGTGATGGAGAGGCTCGGTCACGCCAGGCGGGGCCGCTGTGAGTCACCGCCTGCCATTGGCCGGAGCTGACATCACCGGCGCGCAGCCCCCGGGCCGGGCGCAGCGTGATTGGGCGGTGCGCGGGGCGGCGCGGGCGAGTCACGTGGGGGGAGGGAGTGGGGGGAGCCAGGAGGGGAGGAGGGGGAGGCTGGCAGCGGAGCTTTGAATAGGGAAGTTTTGCAGGGGTTACGTTTGCAGTCAGTCCGGTGTTTGCAAATATTGTGTGGGCTCGCGAGCGCGTCTCTGGGCTCCGGCAGGATCCGAACCCGCGGCGCCTAATTGCTGTGCACTGAGTTTGCATGAAACTTTCCCCGGCGCTGCAGGCACGACTGCTGCGCTCCCGACTCCAGACCGCACACCTCCCTGTTTTCACAACAGCAGTGACTGTCTTTTCCAACCCGACATGGATGTACTCCCAATGTGCAGCATCTTCCAGGAACTCCAGATTGTGCACGAGACCGGTTACTTCTCGGCGCTGCCCTCCCTGGAGGAATATTGGCAACAGGTAAATAGGAATTTTCGTGTGCCAGGTGCCCGGTGCACCGAGGAGGGAGTGCATGCACGCACGGACAGGATGGTGTGTGGTTGGAGGTGCATTTCTTTTTCTTCTTCTTCTTCTTTTTTTTTAATGGTTTGGGTAAATTTTTTAAAAATTAAAATAATTAGTCTTACAACGTACTTTGTGCTGCTTGCGTGCGGAAGGCACTTCGAAGGGGCCTTTGACGGCGTGGAGCGGAGTTGTCATATGAGCGGGGCGCCGCGGCGCTTGGTCTCTCCGAGCGTTTTCGCCCGTTTCTGGGGCTTCTGGACTGCATCCTCCCGAGGGTAGTCCTGGCTCCGCGGCCTGATCCCGGCCCGAGCCCTTGGCAGAAGTTTGGTGCCTTGTACCAGCTCCAGACTCCACAGCTGGATCTTGTCATATGAACTTGCCTGGACTGCCAAGGGTTGTTGGGTTTTTTGTTTTGTTTTGTTTTGTTTTTAATGGGGAATTTGTTTTTGTTTTTGCTTTTTTGGTGTTTGTACAGAGTTGCGTTTTTTTTTTAATTAAAAATGTCACCCGTGAAACATCCACCAGCTCCTTTTTTCTCTACTAGATCATTTCCATTTTTTTTTTCCTCTTTGGAATCCTTAAGATTTGTTTCGATCCGCCTTGTTTTTCTTACCTGCTTTTTTTGTTGACCAGAAAAAAAAAAAAAAAGCCAACAACGTTTGCACAGCCAGTGACTTATCAGTCATATGACAATGAGCCCGTCCAAATTGCTTCAAGTCTGAGTTTGAGAAGAAGAGTCTCGGTTTCCGGCATTTTTTTTTTTTTTAGTAGAACTGGAATTTTTGACATTGGACGTTTAAGAAAGTTAACCCCCCCTCCCCCAATTCGTTAGGATTGCCTGAAGGGAGAGAGAGATTCTGACACTTGTCTCATTGTCTTTAAAAAGATAGAAGGAGGGGTCGGGGCGGTCTCTCTGCCCTGCTAGGCTGTTTGCTTTTTGTCACAAAGTGAATTAGCAGATCAAATATATTGTGTGTTTCAAAGCCTAGAAAGCTTTTAAAAGGGATGAAATGCAAAGTGTTGCAACCTTCACATGCCTGCTTAATTGTTCCCAGCCCTATCCTGCCTTCCTCTCCCCTCCCCCCCTTTTCCTCCTAAAGAAGCTGCTCCCTAGGACGTGATTGAAATTGATCTAAGTAGTTTCCTACGGGCATTTGGGATTTGGGCCCCAAGCCAGGCTGAGCTCCCGGTCCTCTTCAGAGGCTTTTAAACTCTCGGAGAGCTACGTTTTGGTCCCCAGTGCTTATCAGCATAATGGAGATTTCAAATTAGCCAGATTATTAAAGTTTAACAAGATCTCAGTAAATGTGCTTTCCTTTTCCTTTGGTGCATCAATAAAACACCTTGCCGTCTCTCCTTAGAACACTGTTTTCTCAGAACACTGTCGTATGCACTGTAACTCAGACGTCTAATTTTAGGGGTAAAGAGAAAACAATGATTGTTTTTTTCCCCTTTGCTTGCTCATGCTGGCTGTGTGACGAGTCTGGGGAGGGGGAGGGTATGTGCTATATTATAGCAGGCACATTTGCTAAGTAAGCAAGCAAGCATGAGCCCTTTGGGTAGGCTTTGCTAGTCCTGAAAATGATTTGCTAAAAAGAGCAGAGTTTGCTGTAGAAATTTAAGTCTGTAGAATTGCAGTTGTATAGACAGCCTTATATGGACATGCAGACACTTGATCCTAGTAAAGATAAGGGCAGACATAATTTAATCCTAAAATGTTTCCTACCGTTTTTCTTTTCCAGTGGCTAGAAAGTTTGAGATGGTGGGGAGAGGGGATGCTGGTCTCTCGGCAGTTGTAGCTTCTTGAAAGGTTGGTTGTGGGGCTGGGGAGGGGCACTGTCCATGACACACTGCATGTACATTTGAACCGGGTCCTTTTTTGGCTGCCGGTCAGAATTTCAAAAGGAAGTCTCCTTTGGCATTGCGTGAAAGAAACGGAGTGATGACTCATACAGTTGTACTCTTGGCCAGTAGATAAAGTTCTTGTCCATTGTGGGACTCCCAGCAGGGCTGGGGAGGAATTTCCCCTCCTGCATCGTTTACAATAGCAGATGGCCATTCTGGAATTACTTCTCCACTCCTGTTGTTGAAGCTCTTGTTTTTCTCTGACCACTGTGGAAGTCATTAAAGTTGTGTGTGAGCATGGCCCCGCACTTGGGAATGGCGTTCTTTGAAAGCCTCCTAGGTCGGGCACTACAGGAAACAGGGTGGTTTCTCCAACAGCTCCATTGATGTCCCTGAACACAGACCGTCCGCTAGCGGCGTGTGCTGGCTGAGTGTGGCCCTGTGCTCTCGGCTCTGTCGCTAAAGAAAGACACATGCAATGTCAGAACACACTGCCTCGCGTGCAGTGCAGCCTTTCTGTCTTGTGCGTGAGAAAGGAGGGTGGCCGGGGCATTCCTTAAAGCACATGGTTCTCGAGACCGTCAGGTGATCTGGTTAAACCTGTCAGGGGGCATGTGTCCGAGGCAGGTTTTCTCTGTGTGGTTTACAGAAACTCAGTGGTCGCGTCAACCTGATAACAATGACAAAGGTAGTTTGGTGACCATCAGTCCTTGTGGCCACTGGTCCAACCTGGGAAGGCCCGGAGTCCTTGTGGCCACTGGTCCCTCTCCTGATTGCATATATCCGTTCCTAGAAATAGCTTTCCTCTCGCTCTCCTAGAGACGCGATTCTTACAGCCCCACGGCCACAGTCTGTTTGCCCTTGATTCCTGCATGTTTTGGGAAACGTGCTTTCAGTTCCATTGTCAGTCGTCATCACGATCACGTGCCTTCTTGTGGTTCCTTTCGCACAGACCTGCCTGGAGTTGGAACGTTACCTCCAGAGCGAACCCTGCTATGTGTCAGCCTCCGAAATCAAGTTTGACAGCCAGGAAGATCTGTGGACCAAAATCATCCTGGCTCGGGAGAAAAAGGAGGACCCGGACCTGAAGCTTTCCTCCAGTCCCCCCGAGGATGCTCTGAACAGCCCCGGCTTTGCTTACAACCTGGAGACCAACAGCCTGAACTCCGATGTGAGCAGCGAGGCCTCTGACAGCTCTGAGGAACTTTCTCCCACCACCAAGTTTACCTCCGACCCCATCGGCGAAGTCTTAGTCAGCTCGGGGACCCTGAGCTCCTCCGTCACCTCCACGCCCCCGTCTTCTCCAGAACTAAGTAGGGAGCCTTCTCACCTGTGGGGCTGCGTGCCGGGCGAGCTGCACCCCCCCGGGAAGCTGCGCAGTGGGACTGCGGGAAAGCCGGGCGACAAGGGCAGTGGGGACGCCTCACCGGATGGCCGGAGGCGGGTGCACCGCTGCCACTTTAACGGCTGCAGGAAAGTTTACACCAAAAGCTCCCACTTGAAAGCACATCAGCGCACTCACACAGGTCAGTCCCTCCTGCGCGACGCGGGAGGTGGGCTGCTGGTGGGCGCCACTGATGCACCAGCCCTGGGAGGGGGCCGGGCTCTGCAGGAGGCTGGCAGAGCAGACACATCCTCACCTCATGCTTCCCCAAAAGAGTTGGGTCTCTGGGGAGGACAGAGTGGGAGCTCAAGGACTGGACGTGTGTGCCCGTGAACGGGTGAGACTTTCAGATTAAACAAATGAGGTAAATCCCATTCTCCGCCTACACCCCATCCCTCACTCCAACCTTCCTCCTGATCGCTGGGGGGGGCCCCGTCATGTGGAGTTACCTCCGATTTTCTGAAATGAAGCTCGAGGGTGGGGGGAGGGGGCGGCTGGGGGGTGCAGAGCATGCGGGTGCCCTGGGCCGTGAGGTGAGAGCCCGACCCACGCGCTCCACTGGAGGCAGTACTGATCCCCGGGTACTTGCTGAGAAGTTCTCTGTGTATCACGTGGCCTTTGTTTTCTGGTACCAGTTTAAACAAACAAACAAACAAAACAGCTTTGTAATGAAAGCCCACAACTCAGATGAAAGTGCATCTGAAATTACTGTGACAGTCTGGGGTAGCCTGGTGAGGAGTCACCCAACTTCCGGAGCGGGGAGGGATCTTGCACGTGGAGTCACGTAAGCTCTGACCTGGCCTGTGAGGGTGACGAGAGGGCACCTCTGAGCCCTCAAGTCGGGGTCCCCGGCAGAGCCGGGGTCAGGACCCAGGTGTCCCCGCGGCCCCCCCATCTGTCCCGACAGCCCACTCGGGCACTGGCTGGAACAACATCTTGAATTTCCTCAGGTAGCACTTTAAGTGAATTCATATTTATTGTCTGACTGATGGAAGAGGTCGATTTGGTCGCTTGATTGTTATTTAGAAAGTGCTTTGAAGGCCCTCAGGATGGGGTTTCCCAGAAACTCATGACCTCAGTTTTGGAGAAATGTCGTTTCCCGGAGGAAAGTACAAAGCCTCATTCCACAGGGAAGTGAGTAAGGAACAAAATAAGTGCTTGAGAGAAACCGTTTCCATGGAGAGAGCAATAAAACCCTGCCCCCGCCAGGGCTGTGGGTCCAGTGGGCTGACACGTCACCTCAGAAGTATTTCGCCAGGCTGAGCATTTGTCATTCTTACAGGGTAACGCTGATGACAGTCCCGTGGGCCCTGCCGGCCCTGGGTCCCGTCTGCAGCACTTGGCGGCCCGCGGCTGGCTCAGGAAGGGGCTCCGCCGTGTCACCTCCAGTACCAGTTCCGTCCTTAACCGAGGCCGGCCCCGGAGCTGGCGAATGAGTTGACTTTGGTGTGGCGGCTTCCGTGTGTTCTGTCGCTGCGCACCTCCTCCTGTTCAGTGAAATCACGGTGTGCCTGTCCTGTGCTCTCTTCCCAGGAGAAAAGCCTTACAGATGCTCATGGGAAGGGTGTGAGTGGCGTTTTGCAAGAAGCGATGAGTTAACCAGACACTTCAGAAAGCACACTGGTGCCAAGCCTTTTAAATGTTCTCACTGTGACAGGTACGTGCACAAAGCGCAGGGACCAGAATGGCCTCTCCCGGGAGGGACGGGAGGCAGTGAAGAAGCCAGGCGCTTCCCTGTCCCGCGCTTCAGCCGGGGACTTTCTGAGACAGTCTGTAACCTGCCAGTTGTCCAAATTAGGAAGAACTGGGTTCTGGGTGCATGAGCATAGAGTGATTTCATTCATACTTTCTGAGTTTGGCCTTCAGCCGTGCAAACTTGAGGGTTGAGTAATAAGGTCAGGTGGAATCCTCCAAAGAGCAGATTGGAGTCCTTCCTTTATCTGCCCGTCCGTTGGAGTTTCCTGCTTCGGAAACACAAATGGGAATGGCCGTGCCTTAGTGGATTCCCCCCTTGCCTCGGAGAGCGCTTGGGTCAGGGGGAGCGCAGGCCAGGAGGGCTGTAAGCTCAGCGAAGGCGGAGACCTAACCTGTTGGGTGCCGATTTGCTCTGCAGGTGTTTCTCCAGGTCCGACCACCTGGCCCTGCACATGAAGAGGCACCTCTGAGGGAGCAGAGCGGCGAATCCTGCGGGCTAAAAGGCTTCCAGGCTGAGAGACAGCCATGGAAGGAGGGTGCGTGTTCCAGCCAAAGCATGCCATTTTGCACCCCACCCAGTTGCCTCCAGGACCTCTGCTTGGAAGGTCTTTCGAGGGCGAAAAACGTCATGTCAGAAGCGGCAGAGCACCCGCGGTGTGTGGTGTTTGGGTGGCCCTGGACTCGCCACTGGTACCTATCTTCTGAGTGGTCCCTAAGCCTTTGCCGTGAGCATGTGCACTGAGAATGTTAATGGTTGGGTTGACTGTCTGTGGAGGGTCTGTTAGTTACTGATTGTGTGATGGGGGCAGAGTCTTTTTCCCTTGCAGTAGCGAGACTGCAAGAGGCAGCAAGCGCGGAGTTTGAATGTTCTGTGTGTGAGGAGTATCCCAGGAGATGAGGTGACCACCGATCATCTCCCAGGGGGTGGGGTCTGCGCCTTAGGGAAAAAAAAAAAAAAGAAGAAAAAAAAAAAAAGAAGGGAAAACATGGAGGGCGGGAGTGGGTGGTCAAGGCCCCCGGAGTGGCGAGTGGGTGTGGGGAGGGGAGCCCCTCCCCGGGCGAGAGAACTTTCGGTGTCTGGTGCAGCTACGAAAAAAAAACGTGCAATGTGTCAAGTAGCTTGTTTACTTGCTACAACAGAGCTCATTTGTGACCCGTTGTATAAGCTGTGTATTTACAAATATAACACATTGATAACTTTTCCTTGTAAGACTAAAAGTAATGCATGGTCTGGGAAACTATCCGCTTTCCATTCTTAAATCAGGACTACAATGTTGATTCCAGTTACTGAGCAGCTAAGAGATGATTGGTCAAATTCAGTGATCCCTAGCCATCTGGGCCAGGTAATACACAATCCTTCCCCCACCTTCCCCCCAGCGATTTTATAACACTCCCCTTTCAGAAAGGCGTCGTGCAGCATAGGATTATTTTTTAAATGATTCTGAATTTGAATTACCTTTTTGGAGAACTTCCTGATGCCCTTTGAAGACATTGGGCGTATGTTGGGTATCAAGAATGCTAGGGCTGGGAATTGCTAGTCTAATGTGACATTAGACTAAGAACCTAAAATTTTTCTCAGTTGGGTGGATAAAACCACTAAAGCTTAGAAACTGTTTTCTCATGCAGCTAAGTTTCTCTTATTTATGCCTTGAGGACTAATTTCTGGTTTTCTAGCTGTTAATGCACTGTAGATCTTAATAATGGTGCCTTATGCAAGTGACCCCTTCTGTGGGGGTCTCATACAGGGGTATGGGTGATGCATGCTTTATTAAGGCTCTTTTTTCACCTGGCATTGTACTGTATCAATATATAATACAGAAAAAAAAAAATCTCTTTAAAGTCCTCCTTCACAAAGACAAATAGAGAGATAAAACTCCCCAAACAAGTCAGTATTTACTCGATATTTTAGACAACTTGACTGTCAGTGTTCAAGTGGAAAACACATGATAATTGGAAAATCGGACCATTTCTGCCACCATGAGACTTTCATATAGACTTTGCACAACAATTGTATAGATCACACACCGGCTGTATTTAATATGTAACGTTTTCACACATATTAAAGATACAGAATATAAAAAAACAATGTTAATGTATTTGCTTAAAAGGCACAAGCTCCACATATCTATCTAGCTATCTGTTGGTAATACAGAAAGTATATTACTTTTTTTAAAAAAGTGGGCGGAATTCTTGTGTATGTATATTTGTGTGTATAGTATGTGTGTGTGTGTGTGTATATACATATATATAGATAATATATAAATATTTTTTTAAGGAGAAATGAGAATGTTTAGATAGAAAATTCCACAGCCTGTGAGGAAATATTTCAGAATGGCCATAAAGGAGGTAAAAATGAAAACCATAACTTTTATAAAGGCTTTATCTGTAATTTAGTGATTTGCTACAGATCCTTGGCATGCAGTCTACTCCAGACTGCTGACTTTGCTCATCATTATTGGCAGGTCCAGAATAAGGGATCTTCGGCCATTCAAAAGTGGCACGAAGGGAATCCTCGCCCACTCATTGGTCTCAGACACACTAAGGATTTGATTTTGAATTTCAGCCTTATTAGAACATCTAACCTAAGAGGAAGCTAATCACAGGGATTCTTTTTTAGAATACTTTTTATGCAGATTAAGCTATTTTTTCCAGCACATAGATTCTTCCAGTTTTTCCAACGAGTAATTTCCCCGAATTGGCATACCGCAGCATGGACAGCTGATAGTTCATCCAGCTGCTGGCTCGTGGGTGTGGATCTTTTTTTTATATATATGTATATATATATATATATATACACATATGAGTCTGGCTGGGCTGGTATTTTGTTTGATCTTCCTGGAAATGAGCAATGAGGAAAGCTCACATAACTGGTTTTTTATCTGGGCTGATGAGTACACTTACCTGAACAACTCACTTCATTTTGCTGAGGGGAAAATGCACTTTTCTTTTGGCAACTCCAAATCCAGGCACTTGATTTGCTGGGTTTGGGGAAACTCCTTTTTTGGCCCCGCTGTGTTGCTTAGCCATAACAATTCCATTAAGCAAGAAGGTAAACAAAAGACAAAAAAGGAAAACAAAACAAAACAAAACAACCACAGCTTGCACTGGCTTGTCTCACTTATGAAACACCATGAAGTTGTTTGATTGGGTGGGGCTGGGTGCCATGTGTGTCAATGCCTGTAATTTTCATAATAAGCAAGTACATAAAGAATTACATTCTGTTCAGGTGATAACTGAGCCTCAATCAAGCAGAAACTTTTTGCTTGACATTAAAAAAAAAATTTCTATTAGTGAAATTTCTTTTTTTTTTTTTTGAAGCACCCTGTTATCTAAAGAATCTTTGTAAGATTTTTGTAAAATTTTGTTTTACAAGATTTTATTTGAAATTGTTTTTTGCAAGATTGTTATATTTCTGTATGAATGTATTTTTTATTGGAATAACATAAAAGAATTCTTATCAGCATCTTGAGTTTGGTGGTTCATTTTTTTGGGAGGGTGAGGCGAGGGTGTCAAAAACAGATTCCTGTTCTATTAATCAGCCTGGCTCCTCCTTGGGAAATACCGCGTGTGCAATTCTGAGAGCCACTTGCCTGTCTTCCCCCCCTGACTTTTTAAACAGCCTGTCCTGGAAGCTAACGTGGAAAGAGGAACCTGATGTTGCTCTGAGGAAGGTAGAAATGACAGAGAAGGGGCAGCCGGCCCAAAAGTCACCCCCTGGCCTTAAACCCACTCCTCTATATAAACTGAATGTTTACTGATCAGCCCAGTAAAATAGGGCAGAAAGTAAAAGATTGTTTACATGATCAACACATGCTTTTATATATATATTTATAAATATAAATATATATATAATATATAAATAAATATAATCTTCAGGGCCAACAGGATGTATTAAATGTAGAGTTTGAAAGTACAATAGCTTTTGGTTTTCAGAAATGTTCCGTGTTAGTAGCTTTAGATCTTCATCTTGGTTCCGCTGTGTGATGAGTAGCAGCAACTGGTCTGCCTACAAGTCCATTTCCAGATCATATTCAGACTCGGTAGTGACAGGGTAAAATCAATGTGCTTCTAGAAGAAAGGGGCTGCAGGATGACGGAAATGCCCTTAGGAATGAGCTTCCTAACATCGTTGTTTGAAGAAGTTTTTGATTTTCGCTTGCTCACTACTGCTCTTCCTAGCGGATCTTCATTTTGCTACATGTGCAGAGTTTACACTACTTGGCTTTTAATTTTATAATTAGGGAGGGGAAGTTTAAATGCCTCCCCAGATTAGGAATGTTAAGTAATTTTCTTTCTAGAACGGCAGTAAAAATATCTGCAATTTGCAAAGAGTTGCCGTGTGGGAGGCGGCAGGAAGCAGATGTAATTTTTGCCAGGACTCATGGGTGTGTGGTGTTCTGAGGCACATGTCAAGATGACTAATAGTTGGATTGCCCTGACAGTGCAGCTAAATAAAGGCTTGATAATACATTCTCGGCTACTAGTAAGACTTGACCACTTTGTCATGCGAAGACTATGTCGAACAGCTCAGTTATGTTCAAATAAGGCTGTTAGAAGCCACGTCATGTAAGGAATCAGCTGTAAACCAAGGATATTTATAGAAGTCTAAAAACTTTCAGTGTGCTTAACGAATTTTTTGAAACCTAGCTCAAAGAAAGGGTATGTTCCTGTTTGAACTAGTTGTGTGCTTCTGGACAATTTGCTGTGTTTCACTGGACCTCAATTTTCTTATTGCTAAAATATTTTGGGCCAGGTCACATGTGTCTGGCATTTTATACAGCACTACAATTCTGTGGTCTGTGAGTATAGGGTGGATTTCAAATTACACGTTCACCATTTTCAGAACGCTCGGCTCAGATCTAGAAAATTTCTTTTGCTACAGTAGAAAGTATTGTTGGAAAAATTGCTCTGACTTGGAATGGAAAATGGAACGTTCTCAAATTGCCCTTTGCCCCTTTAATTATAGTTAAGTTATTCAGGCATTTGGTGCTTTATGGCATACCATTTTTTTAATTTAAAAAAAAAAAAAAAAACCTCTTTGAAAAGTGCCATTGTAGCCATGGCAGATCCAAAGTGTCTCAAGTTGTCCTGAGGCACCAGTCATATTCTGCACTTCCCAGCTGACCTGGGTGCCCCCGGGGGAGTGAGGGCGGGGGCGATTGGAGTCAAGTTGTTTACCTTCATATTTTAATTGCTATGGAGAAAAAACATAGCTTTCGTATGTAGTTCCTTTCTTAGGATTTAACCTTCTGCTACTCTGAGCTACTTTTTTTTCACCACAATCCTCCTTCTCAAACTGAATTATTACCCTCCCAAATTTGGGTGATGATGAAGATGATTAGTACTGCGCCTTAACCAGGAGTTGGGTAGGCAGTATGTTTTCTCTCTGCCTCTCTCTCTCTCTCTCTCTCTCAGTTTCTGTGTATTTATATATGTTTCCCAGAGCATGCCACACAGTAGGTGTTACCCCATTTCACAGATAGGGAATACTGAGGCTTCATGAAGTTAAAGCTCATTTCCCGAGATCACTCAGCCAGGGAAACAGCAGGCTAAGCGTTCGGCCCAGCTCTCTCAAATGCCAAAGAGCAAGGTTTCCATCACCACCCACCCCTGTTTTCTGTCTTGTCCCAGCTCTCATGAGAGCCTTCTGCTCTTTCCACTGGATGCACTTTAAAAAATGAAGTTACATTTATGACATGGAGACAGAACTTTCCTACAATTCAGAGGCACCAAAGCTATAAACTGTGCTGTAATCCTGAGCAAACAAAAGTAACCATTTTGAATTGCTTTCAAGATATGAGACAGATGGCATGTATTTATTTTTAATGTTTAAGAAGATAGAGAAAGCAATTGAGGATGTGACATCCTGCATTAATTGGCAAGCATCACCTAATGTACATAGTTAAGACACAAAGAGAGGAAAATTAAGTCCATGCATCACACA